CCCCCTCGACATGGCTGAGGTGCTGCAGCGAGCCCCTGAAGATGGCCAGGTTTTGAGCCTGTACACCCCATTCAGGGAGGCATCTGTCCACGTGGCTGAGGTGCGCATCTCCTCCCTCTCCAGCCAGCCCATGGACCCAGAGGAGAGCACCCAGCAGGCCAAGTCCAGGGTTCATGAAATCTCTGAGCAGCAGGCCAGCCCTGATCCCTGGCACGGGCAGCACCAGGAGGAGGAGGAAGACTTGGACCTGGGAGAAGCCAAAGAGCAGCACCAAGGTGAAGTATTGCCATTCACGACCAGGGAAGAAGCTGCCGAAACCAAAGTTGGGGAGTGGCTTCGCAGCGTCCGAGAGTGGGAGGAAGACCTGGACCTGCAGCAGGAGTGTTCGGAGAATATCCCTGAGGTTGAGGACATGAATCTGCTATATGATGCATTAGGGGACCCCAGTGAGAGCATTAGTTGGACATCCCCCGAGGGCTCTCTGGCTGCCAGAAGGATGTCTAACTGCAAGCTTAGGCCTGATCCCCCGGGGAGTCGACCTAAGTCGACAGGTGGACATCCCCCTAGGGGTCCTGGACTGTGAATGGGAGCAGGCCAGGCTGAGGGACACCCCCTCTCCCCTGACCAGTGCACAAATTTTTGTGCACTGGGCCTCTAGTATATATATATAATCATCAGGTATTTTCTTTTTCTTTAAGTATATTTTATTGATTTTTTACAGAGAGGAAGGAAGAGAGATAGTTAGAAACATTGATGAGAGAGAAACATTGATAAGCTGCCTCCTGCACATCTCCCACTGGGGATGTGCTTGCAACCCAGGTACATGCCCTTGACCGGAATCGAACCCGGGACCTTAAAGTCTGCAGGCCGACGCTCTATCCACTACCCGAGGGCTCCCAGACTGTGAGAGGGCAGAAGTGGGGCTGAGGGACACCCCCTCTCCCCTGACCAGTGCACAAATTTTTGTGCACTGGGCCTCTAGTATATATATATAATCATCAGGTATTTTAAAAATATATTTTATTGATTTTTTACAGAGAGGAAGGGAGAGAGATAGAGAGTTAGAAACATCGATGAGAGAGAAACATCGATCAGCTGCCTCCTGCACACCTCCTACTAGGGATGTGCCCACAACCCAGGTACATGCCCTTGACCGGAATCGAACCTGGGGCCTTTCAGTCCACAGGCCGACGCTCTATCCACTGAGCCAAACTGGTTTCGGCATCATCAGGTATTTTCATTATAAATCTAATTCCAGGCCACTGCTCATCCATTAGGAAGCAATGCAATTTTTCATTCTTAATTCATATAGTCTTACCAAAACTATATTTAAAGAGCTAGTTCTCAACTAAGGGTAGTACTCTAGGGACCATTTGAAAATGTGTGACAGCAGATTTTGTCATCTCAGTGACCTGGGGGAGGACATGATTGGCATTTAGTGGGCTGGGGATACAGGTTCTGAAGGATTTCCTGTCCAAAATACATAGAGTCCCCTCTATTTCTCCCTTGAGAAACACTACAAGTTATAATGATGGCCAGAAAAATAGTAAAACATGCACAAAAGTAATCTTCTGTAAATATTCTGTAAATAGGGGGTTATAGAATCCCCACCATATTTTTAAGCAATGTTCATTTTTCCCTTTTAAAGTAGGAGATACTGCAAAACTTTTCTCTATTATAAAATCTGATCTAAAAGTGACACACGTAAAAGTAGAAGAAAGTTTTTCTTGTTAATGCATAGCTCAATAAATTTTTTAAACTTTTAAAAACACTGAAATGTTTTACAAGCTCAGGAAGCTTGCAATTACTTGGGGGTAATGAGAGAATGAGCTCAATAATGCCAAGGTCATTTTATTTGGTTCAAGAGGGTATCAGACTATTATCTTTCAGTCTATTTACCTTCTTGAGGAAATTAATTTCATTTTCATCACTTTATTGAATTTAACAAATTTACAGAGTGTCCACATGTGCTAGGCATTATACAAGAAGTTAGGAAACAAAGTCAAAAGGCACTTTCTTAACCTGGAGAATATTCAAACACCTAGTTTACAGGATAAAGAAAAAGAAGAAAAGGGGCAAAAGATTCTTATATTTGCTAAGTAATAGAGGAGAAATAGTGTAGGGTTAAAAACAGACAGTGTTGCCCAGCCAGTGAGCCTCAGGGGTTGAGCATCGACCCATACACCAAAAGGTTGCTGGTTTGATTTCCAGTCAAGGCACATGCCCAAGGTTTCGAACTCTATTCCCAGTAGGAGGCATGCAGGAGGCAGCCAATCAATGATTCTCATCACTAATATTTCTATCTCTCTGCCTCTCCCTTTTTCTCTCTAAAAATCAATAAAAAATATATTTAAAAATAGTGTTATTTTATTATACATTAAAGGAATAATTTATCTGTGGTAAAGTCTGCTTTCTAACTTTATTCATTGTAAGACTGTTAACACCCTGTTTATTTTGTCAATAAAAAAAGTTCCTAGAAATACACAACCATCTTACATGTGCTGATTGATATTTGTTTTATCAGGACAGGTATGGAAAATGGAAATCACCAGACAGTCACTAAACTACACTTACTACAGTGAGTTTTATATAAAGTGCTAGTCACTAGTAAACAGACAATTATTTAATTAGAGATATGATTTATAAGCTACTCAAAAGTTAAATCATAATGTAAAAATCAGCAGTTCACTTTATAGGCAAGGAAATACTATAGAGAAACTAAGAAAATTGTGTGATCCCAGAACAAGCATTATCATTGCTATAAAGTAAGTACTAATCATTATGAAAGATACAAAATAAGCAAAAAAATCAAAGGAGATTTTAGAACCAGAGCACCAAACTGTTCTTAAAAACATGGCTAACTCACCAGTTGTCTCCTATTCTTCTTCCATGTTTCTGCTTTCCTCTTTGAGTTCATGTTTTGAAATGCTATTTTCAACAAGACAGAATTGTTATCATGAGAAAAACTCTCACCACAGAACAAATACACACATACACATTTGAAATGCACTGGTTTAAGGAGAGGGAGAGAGAGGCCCTTTAGTTCTCAACAGTACTGAATTAAATCAGCTATATCACTTTAACTGAGAGCACATCAAACTTACAGAAGTCACTTGGTGGGTTGTGTGTAAGGTTTCTGTAGAATTCAGTTCTGTGAGCTTTCTTTAATCCCGTGCATAAGCCAAAATCAGATAATTTTACATGGCCCTAAAAAAGGAAAAAAAAAAACTAGTAAAATCAGGGGATTATAACTCTGAAACAAAAGCTTTATTGTAAACTTTTTAAAATTCAACTATTATAAAAATTCTTAGCTTAGAATCCATACAAATGAAATGTAATAGTATAAATGTTTGATGATAATGACTGCATCATTCTATAAAATAATGTAGGTTAGCAATAATATAAATTGCAGTTGTCCATTTCCAATCACAAAATTAGCTCTATTACTCCATAAAATAACTAGCGACCTAATAATTCACCAGTTTATTCACATACCTTGGCATCTAACAAAAGGTTGTCTGGCTTAATATCCCGATGGATAAAACCCAACTGGTGGATCGCATCTATTGCCAGAACAGTCTCTGAAATATAGAACTGTGTTTCCTCTTCTGTCAAGGTATCTTTCTTCATTAGCAATGTCATCATGTCCCCTACAAAGGAAAGTATCATGTATTGAAATGCCTCAAAAGAGAAATACCTTGTAAAGGCTTTCTTTGTATCTACACAATGTATGCCTGATTTTTGAATTTTATGATCCACCCAGCATACCTCCAACCATCTCCAGGGCCAAATAAAGTGTCATTGCATAGGCAAAAGTTTTATGACATTTAATGGGTTTAAGATAGAAAGTACATGAAATCAAATCAAAGCAGAGCTAATAATGAAGTAATATCCACCACTCAACATCCAGAATAAGTTGCTGAGAAAAACATACCAAACTGGAAAATGAATCAATAAGCACACCTGGAAATGGGATATACTAGTATTCTTTCAAATTCAAGTTTCAAAAACACTAAGAGCTCTTTGGGATAGCAAAAATAGGACATCATTCCACTAAAAGACTTACCTTCAGACTTTTTGTTTGTTTGTTAATCCTCATCCGAGGATATTTTTCCATTGATTTTTAGGGAGAGTGGGAGAGGGAAAAACAGAAAGAAACATCGATGTGAGAGAAACACATCGATGGGTCGCCTCCTGCATGTGCCCCAACCAGGGCCTGGGCTGGGCAGGAGCCTGCAACCAAGGTACGTGCCCTTGAGCAGAATCGAACCCGGGACCCTTTGGTCCTCAGGCCGATGCTCTATCCACTGAGCCAAACCAGCTAGGACCAGACATTATTTTCAAGGGATTTTTTTTTGTTAAAGGGAGGCAAAGAACAAACACTGGTGAACTTACCATTCAAAATTGACAAAGTATATTTTCATGATGCTTCAGATTAAAAAAATAATAATAAAGTAGAAGTATTCTTTGTTTTCCATTCCCATTCTATTCCTCTTTCCCATTTTGCTGAGTAACCATTATCATGCATTTAGTTTGATGTATATCCTTCTAGCTTCTTTTTAAAATGCTTTCATATACTTATATATTAATCTATAGACTTATAGTCTTTTGTAGGTTTTTTAAAAATTACACAAATAGTATCAATTGTACATATACTTGCACAGCTTGTTGTTTTATTACGCCACTGTTTCTGAGATATTACTATTGAAAAAGATATAGCTCCTGACTTTTAACTACTGTAAAATATTTCATCTCATAACTATGCCACATTTTATTTGTCCAGCCTTCTATGGCTGGACATTTATCTTGCATTCAGGTTTTCACTATTATGACAATGCTGCAATGAGCATCCTTTTACAGGTCTCTTGTACATGGGCATGGGGAGAATCTCCACGGAATACAACTGGTTGTGGAATTGTGGAGTTGTAGGACACCTGCATTTTCCACTTTACTGCGATGTATGAATTGCTCTCCCATTAGGATTACAGATTAATTTACATATATGAGGCCAGTTCCCCACAGCCTCATCTGTCTTAATGTTTTTACTAACCAGATGAGTGTGAAATGTTATCTCATTCTTGTTTTAATTTGCATTTCCCTGAATACTGGTGAAGTTGAACATTTTCCTATATTTTTGTAGACAGCCAGAGTTCTTCAGTGCGCTATCATTTGCCCATCGGGTTGTTTTTCTTTAGTGATTTGTTTTTCTTTCTTCAAAAGAATCTGATTTGTCAAAATGAGCATTATTATGGGAGGAGCTATTGGAAAACCATGACTGACTATATAAACCTCAGAGCTAGGAATACCAAAGTAAACCTAATCAATAAAATTGTAATTACATATAGTGATTTGCTTGTGTTCAGCCTGTCATTGCTGTTACGTTTGCTTTTACCTCCAGGGAGAAATTCCATGATTAGATAAAGGTTCCTCTTATCTTGAAAACTGTAAAACATCTTCACCACCCAGGCACCATCTGCTTCTACCAAAATATCTCTTTCTGCTCGAATATGAGCCACCTAGATGAATGTATTTTGAAAAAATAATTGTAACATATTACACATTTTCAAGCTTACCTCTTACAATTATCCATCCAGTTCCTAAGAAGTCATGAAGGAAAGCTGGAGTTTCAGAAAAAATTTAAAACATATATCCATGTTCATATTCTCGTTAAACACGGAGAACCTCAGGAAATACTTTATTTTAGCTTATATCTTTAGGCCTAAAAAGGTGGGATCCACAGGTATATTAGGGGAAGTTGAGGCCTTTTAAGGTAGAAAAATGACTAGTCTCAAACCTTCCTGACCAGATTCTCCACCTAGGCAAAGATCCTGGCTTTGTCTTATAAATTTAGAGCCCTTAGTCTGACTTTTAAATGTTAAAAGAAGTAAGCGATGCTCTATAAATCAGTTTGACAAAGTCAGGGTCCTTAGCAAACTATTTTTTAACTGTTAATAGTCAAGGACTTGGCTTGGTTTTTAACCATTTGGTTTGCTTTTTTTAAGCAAAAACGTTTATAATAATTTTATATTCTTTTGTTATAACATACAACCTCTATAACATCTATAAACATAATCTATAACAAATTAATGTAATTTTGTGGAGTTTTGCTACTGATTTTTGTCAGATACACAATTACTAGGGATCCATTTTATAAGCTGGAATATTTTATAAACTGAGTAATTTGTGGAGTTCATATAATCAATTTTCAGATATTTTTGCATTATTTCTTGAAAGACTACCAATAAGGTTTGATTTTATACTTTTGCTATTTTCATTGTGCACCACTATGAATTCTGGCCCACAGCACAAGAGAACAAATATTTTATAAACCTTTTCATAATAAAATATGACCTGCTTAAAATATCATATTTCAGATTACTATATTATTATCTAGTATGCTAAATGCACTAAGATCAAAGCACAAGAATAAAAATTGAAAATTAAGAATTTTTTTTTTTTTTTGCATTAGAGAACTTTATAATCTCTCTGGATCTGTTTCAAAATTCTTACCTATTGTCTTTTACAAAGCATTCTAAGATGGCAAAGAAAAAGCCTTGCCTGGCTCGTGTGACTCATTGGTTGAGCATTGACCTATGAACCAGGAGGTCACGGTTCAATTCCCAGTCAGGGCACATGCCCGGGTTGTGGGCTCAATCCCCAGTATGGGGTGTGCAGAAGGCAGCCTATCAGTGATTTTCTCTCATCATTGATGTTCTAGCTCTCTCTCCCTCTCCCTTCTTCTCTTAAATTAATAAAAATATATTTTATAAAACTAATTTCTTCATAGGACTTATCAATCATGACTGTTTGGAATAGCGGTCTGCCTATTTTCCCCACTACTATAAAAGAACAAGGATCAGGTGTGTCCTGTTAACCACTGTATTCCCAGAACTTAGAACATGCGAATACTTGTTGGATGAATGAAATAGAAATAAAGTGGAAGAATGCAGTAAAAATTCAAGTGGGCCATATTTAAATAAAAATTAATATTATATTGCTATAATAACAAAGTAAGCTTCAGGTGGGCACTAAAAGACTGAAGTAAAGCATTAGGTACAGAGAGGTGCCATCTCCCCTTGTACCGCCATTGTAGAGGCCTTTACTAGCATATGTAGCATATGAGTGTCCACCCAGACTGGAAACACAGGTGAATAGATAAAATAATACTAGTAATGTTTTCAGATTTATGGCTACCACTGAAACCACATTAAGTCATAAAAAACAGGAAGACAGCCCAGAAGTATGACATTGGAGTGGTTATAGATTTTGTAAATACATAAAATAAGCAAATTCTCAGGAGACTGTTCTTGCTTTTGTGATATGTGACAGGGATTGAGGGTACTGAGAACTATCCTTTATTTTCACTGAAGTCAGAAAAGAGGGTATTTTGTTATGGACTGAATGTTTTCCCTCAAATTCCCATGATAATGCCCAAACCCCTAGGATAACTGGATTTGAAGAAAGGGCCTCTAAGGAGGTAATTAAGGTTAAGTGAGGTCATTGGGGGTGGAGGGGTGATGGGAGGGGATTGGTATCTGTATTAAGAAGAGACACCAGATAGCTCACACTCTGTGTGCACACACTGAGGAGAGGCTATGTGGAGCCTTAATGGGATGGCAGCTGCCTGCAAGCCAGGAAGAGAGCCCTCACCAGAAACCAAAGCCTGCCAGAAACTTGATTTTAGATTTCCACCCTCCAGAACTGTAAGAAAATAAATTTCTTTTGTTTAAGTCACCAAGTCTAAGGTATTTTGTTATGGCAGCCTGAACAGACTAATACATATTTAGATTATAAATTCAGAAGAAATTTTAACTATAAGAATTGAGAAGCGATGGCACAGCCTATCAAAAATTACTAGATTATATAGTAAGATACATAGATTTCTTTTTAAAAATTCCAACATCAGCCAGTGGATGTTTCTTTGGTTGCATGTATTAAAGAACATACCTGCTCTTTTTCAAGCATATCAGCTTTTCTCAATATCTTCATTGCATAGATATGGCCTGTATCTTTCTTCTGGACCAGCCGCACCTAGAATGTGAAAATTGACCACATTGTAGATGTTAAACAGTCACTACTCTGTATTTAGGAGTAAATAGTAGATTCCTTTAAAGAAAACAGTGTTGCAATTTGCCATTCATGGTATTTTAGGAATTCTATTCAAATTAAATTATTTTAATACACATCTATTTTAAATCTATTTTAAGATATATATTCAATAACAGTGTGTTTTAAAAAGAACCACACCTCTCCAAATGCTCCTCTTCCTATAACTTTCAGAGACTCAAAGTCATCCAAGCCAAGTCTGGTCCTCTTGAGCCGTAAAAACTCTGTTTCCTTGCGAGCATGCTGTGATCGGCGTAACTTTTTCTATTAAAAAAAAAAGACAGTTTAAAAGAAGACTTTAAAATCAGATTGTTTCAAAGGAAACCTACAGTATTAAAAGACAAGATATATAAAAATGGGGGTGAAACCCTGGCCAATGTGGCTAAGTGATTAGAGTGTTGGCCTGTACATCGAAGGGTCTTGGGTTTGATTACAGTCAAGGGCACCTATCTGGGTTACAGGTTTGATCCCAAGCCCCAATCAGGGAACGTACGGGAGGCAACCAATTGATATGTCTTTCTCACATCGATGTTTCTCTCTGTCTCTCCCTCTTCCTTCCACTCTCTCTAAAAATCAATGGAGAACAACAATAACAACAACATCCAGTAGAGAAATGAAGAGAATCTGAACTAAGCAGTTGGAGTTATAAAAAGAGATGGATTGGTGAAATATCTATATATATAAAAGCCTAAGCGACCAGTCAACTGTTCAACCAGTCGACCGATATAGATGGATCACTATGACATGCACTGACCACCAGGGGGCAGACGCTCAAGGCAAGGATGCCCCCTGGTGGTTAGTGTGCTCCCACAGCAGGAGCACCACACAGCTGACCAATGGATGCCAGACGCCGGGCTCACGCCTGGAGAGTGCAGCTGCGGTGGCGCAGCAGTGAGCCTACCAAGCTGCGGCCAGATGAGCAGGAGCAGCACAGTGCCCAGCCCAGGCTCGGGCTCCTCCCCAGCCACCTGCCACTTCACACACTACTACATCCTTCCGGGCTGTTGGGCTGCCGGTTTTGGCTGATCCCTGCAGGCCACACAGAGGGACCCCACAGGTGCACGAATAAAAAAATCTAAAGAAAACTTTAAAAAAACTTTTTTAACAACTGAAAAATCTTTATTCTTGAAGTATACCCCATTAAATATTTCATCTTAACTATATCATGATATTCTTTCATCTATATGCTAACTTAATTAAAAAATAAAAGTTAAACTTTAGGCAATGCTAATAGTATTCTGATATTGATTTTGACTCTGTCAAGAAATCGACTTTGCTTCAATTCCTTAAATCCCAAGGTTGCTCTGTCACAACTACTGAGACTTACGACACCAAAACAACAAAGCAAGAGTGTTTCCATAGAGACGTGCTTATGGCAGAATTTATTCTTGGAAAGATTTTAATAAACTGCTTGAGACTTGGCACACAAATTCCTGAAAAAATGAAACCGCAACAAAGATAATTACATGAAGAATTCATTAAAAAAATAATAAAAAAATAATTCATTAAAATATTCAAGTCAGGAATTTCACAATTCATTCTCCAGCAGTCACAAAAATAATGAGCATTAATATGAAACATTATGAAATATCTGAAGGTACATTTGGAATGGGCATTTGTTTCATTGTTCTATATTTCGTTTTTCCCCTCACCAAACAAAATTTTGTTTTTGACAAAGCTCCTGTGGGAAATGAAAATAATCAATGAAAAAATTAAACTCCTGTTCATCTTCAACTGAACCCTATCAAGCATTCAGTGGTTCAGTTCTGAGGCGGAGACAAGTCAAAATGACCATAACAGCTCAGAAACATTGCTCTGACATGTAGCTCAAGGTATAACTACTAAATAGTCCTTCCCTACCCCTTCGTTTATGCTTTCAAGAGGGTTAGGTAAACTATATATATTAAATAGAAATATGTAAATGTGTATCATCAATGCAATGGAATTCTGATAATTCTAACAAAGTTAATCTAAGAGGATCAAATTAAGAATTATGTACTCAACATGGCTGGTATGGCTCTGTGGATGTGTGTCAATCCATGAACCAAGATGTCACGGGTTTGATTCCCTGCAGTGTGGTGGAGGCAGCCAATTGATGCTCTCTCATCGATGTTTCTATCTTCTATTTCTCTCCTTTCCTCTCTCTTTAAAGAATTATGTCTTCAGTGTAAATATCTTTAGACAGTTAAGTGAAGTTATACACTCAGGCACATCAGTAGTGAAAACAGTGAAGACTATTTTTTGGATCAAAAATGCCATTTGAATAACAGTTTAAAAAACTGAATTACTAGTAAAACAAAAAAATCAAAAAGCAGTTTTAGATTTGAAGACTAAAAAAAAATACCACATGGTGGCACTGTAGTACAGTCTTTCAAAGCAGTAAAGACATTCCTCCCTACCCCTTTTAATTACATAAATGAGTAAATATAAGAATTCTGAAAGACATTCTAGATTTCTAACATTATGGGTTATAGAATAAACAGAGTGCAGTTGGATTTAGCTTTAGAAACTTGTGTAATCTGAATGAAAAAAATAACCTTATTACACAGTTTCATAAATTACACTCAAAATTGATAAACAAGAGAGAAGCACCTAAAGAAAATAATGTTTATTAATATTTTATAGGTTGTCTAGTACAGCAAGTTAACAATGTTTATGTGTTGGAGACAGCTATTAGCAGAAAAGGAGAATCCCAAGTGTATGGAATATATAACCTAACAGAAATGGGACATCACCTATAATGTTGATACATTACTTTAAAAAAATCTATTCCATGATATTAGTTTTAATTCTGAGTCCAGTGTGGCTCAGTGGTTGAGCATCGACCTATGAACTAGGAGGTCAGAGTTCGAGTCCGAGTCAGGGCACATGCCTGGGTTGCAGGCTCCATCCCCAGTGGGGGGACTTGCAGGAGGCAACCGATCAATGATTCTCATCATTGATATTTCTTTCTCTCTTTCTCCCCCTATTCTTTCCTCTCTGAAATCAATAAAAATTTAAAAAAAAAGAAATAGTATATAACATTGTGTAAGTTTTAGGAATATAATGTGATGATTTGGTCCATATATATATTGCAAAATGATTACAATAAGGTTAATGTATCCATCACCTCACATAACTACTCTTTTTCTGTAGTGAGAACATTTAAGATCCACTCTCTTAGTAACTGTCAAGCACATAATACAGTATTGTTAACTATAGTCACAGTAATCACAGCTAACATTACCTCTTCATCTGCTAATCCTTCTTCTTCCATAGCCACTTCTAATTTCTTCTGCCTTAACAAAAGAAAAATAATTTACATTTTAAATACATTCCTAACTACTCCCATTTTTAAATGTACATTTATTTATTCAATTTTACCACTTCAATTTGGTATGCTAAAAAAATCTTTCAAGTTGAATTAAAATAATCACTAGGCATAGTTTTCTTTCTCAAAATATAAACCCAATTCAGATTTAGCTTTCTCAAACTGGTGAAATAAAATTTACTTCTAAAATTGTTTAAATGAATTGTTAGCAAAGGTGACTAATGTTCTAAGAAGGAAAACTCTGTTATCTAATGTTCAAACCACCAAAGTCATTAACATATATCAATGTTTATATTTGATGTATATAAAGGTAACTATAATGACTAAAAGTACAAATTTTTAAGGTGGCTATCCATTTAAATCCTGATTCTAACACTATTAGTTAAATGAGCTTGTCCACATCCTTCACTTAAACTCTAAACTTGATTTCCTACTTAATCAAGGAAAGATGTTCAATGCAACTGAGTATATTTTATTCTAATTCTTTATAAATTAGAAAACCATCTATGTATATAAAAAGTAACCCAAAGAACTACAAGAACTTTTCAAGGTACAGTACAGCCAAGTTCAGTTATTATTTTAAAATGGCATCCTTGAAGTTAGTTAAAGCTAACAAGAAGGGGGTGTGGAGAGGATAGAGGAGGGACAGGATAACGAGAGAAACGGTTGTGGCACAAATTTTGTAACTCATCTCCAAGTGAATATTAAGTATTTTATTTCTATTGTATTGGCTTTTCCTAAAGATAAACCTGAGAGAGAGCTCTTTCTAGTTAGTTTTGGAGTATGCTAGAAGACAAACTTCCCAGGCTTTATTCACATGGGTATAGGGGTTGAGGACTGAAACTACCATTCACATTGTTTAGTATTTGTTATTTATAACAGTACTAGAGGCCCAGTGCATGAAAATTCGTGCACCGGGGTGGGGGGGTAGGGAGGAGGGGCCCCTCAGCCCAGCCTGCGCCCTCTTGCAGTCCAGGACCTCTCGGGGGATGTCCACCTGCTGGCTTAGGGCCGCTCCCCAGGGGATCAGACCTAAGCTGGCAGTCAAACATCCCTCTGGCAGCCCGGGAGCTCTCAGGGGATGTCTCTGCAGGGAGCAGGCCTAAGCCACAGTTGGACACCCTTAGCACTGCCGAGGAGGCAGGAAAGGCTCCCACCACCACTGCTGCGCTTGCAGCCGTTAGCCTGGCCTGTTGTTGAGCAGATCTCACCCTGTGGGAGCTCACTGACCACCAGGGGGCAACTCCTGTGTTGAGCGTCTGCCTCCTGGTGGTCAGTGCGCGTCATAGCAACTGGTTGTTCCCAGTTGTTCCAGTTAGGGTCAATTTGCATATTATCCTTTTATTATATAGGAGTCCAAAAGTAAGCTCTTTCCTAACCCATCAAAATCACTTCTTTTTCTTTCTTAAGGAAAATTCCTAGCAAAAATATCTAGAGCCTGTTCATAAATGAGCACCCAAATGGAGATGAGACCTAATAACATATTCTTCACCTACTTCCTCAGCAATTATAATAGGTACCTTGGTGCTTACCATACTGATTTTTATCTTTTCTTACATATTATTCCCCTAAGCCCAACCTTAGAATGGAACAAGCGCCTAACATCGGATTCTGTGCCTGCCATCGTGTACCTCTGGGCCTGCAGAGCTGCTTGCTGAATGATTTTGAGTTTTCTCCTCTGCTGAAAGAATCCAAAGAGTGAGAGGACCATTAATCTGGGAGGGATAGCCACATACAAGCAACTCTATTCTTCTCAGACCTCTACTGCACCCTTTCCTTGCCAAGACTAACACTTCATGGAATCATATCTCATTCAGGAGCAAGAGGCACTAATTTTCATTCATTTGCACCATGCCTACCCGGAACACCTATGACTTCTCTTGTACCTTTAAAAAAATAGCTTTTCTCCTCAAATGCTCTGGCATTTTGTTCTTTGCTTGGTACTTTATTTAGTTTATTTATTTATCCAATTAGTTAAACCTTAAAAATTCATCACATGTTTTCTTAAAGTATACACTATTTTTACTATGTATTTTTATTATTTTAAGAATGCAATCATTTTTTATTTTATTTTTCAATTACAGTTTACATTCAATATTATTTTGTATTAGTGTCAGATGTTCAGCACAATGGATAGACAATCATATACTTTACAAAGTGTAGTATACATTGTTTAATATGACTTCCATGACATCACCAAGCTGAGACTATTGTGGTTTGTGTAATTTAAAAACAGCAGATGCTTTTATTCTTACTCTCCTTTGTTTAGAAATAGAGGGGAAAATTGAATTACTTTAAGGTTTCAGCAAGAAACGACAATGAACCTTTAAACTTCTGACAAATAACTCATGCCTGCCTCCTGAGAAAATATAGGTCTTTCTTTCCTTGGTTCTCTTCTACTTTGTTCACTCTCCCTTGATGATGTGAACACTCCCAGAGGCTTCCATTACATTTACAATTAGTGTAACTACTATATTTGGATTTATTTCTAACATATTCTGTGGTTTCTATTTATGCCTACTATTTGGTATTTCAGGTTTTTGTTTCTCTGGGCCTTCTTTTGAACTGATTTCCCCCCCTCATTCCATTATTTTCCTTCTACAGGTTTGGAAGTGACAAACTTCATTTTTGGTCTTTTAGTGGCTACCCTAGAAATTACATGTACAGTTAATTTTTCAAAGTCTGAAATTAATCTTTATCCTGTCTACATTGTATTCCTATTCTTAAAGATACAAAGATATCTAAGAACACTTTCATTCCACTTCCCTCCTGATGGAGAGTCGACCGTTAGAAAATATTTTAATTCTTTTTTTTAAAAATGCCCAAGACAATGTCATTATTATTGTTTTTATACAGTCAACTTTTGTTGGGATTTATCCACCCATTCACATTTAAACCTTCTGTTTGTGATCACTTTCCTTCTGCCTACATTCTTTTTGTTTCCTGTTTCACTGAGTTGAACCAACCCTTTTGCCCAGGCATGATATTTCAGAGCCAGTATTGACTTGTTTCTCTCACATTTCATATTTGGCTAGTTTCCATGTTTTTTCATCTTTCTCACCCGTCAATTCTTCTTTGTTGCTGTCACAATCCTAATTCGAGCCTCCTTTCTATTTGCCTGGATTATATCACTAGCCTTTCCTGTTCCTAATCCCTCCTCCCACAGTCCATTCTATGCATCACAATTAAAGTACTCTTCCAGAGAAACACCTGCAATCATTTGATGCTTCTGTTCAAAACTCAGGGAGGCCCTCTACCATCATGGGAAGAGCTACACTAACAAAGCATTCAAGACTCCCAGGAAATCTTTACCTCTAGCTTGAGCTTAACTGAATGGTGCTTGAGTTAGCACTGAAGGTGATTTCTTCTGTCTCTGATGCCCTTCCGCTTGCTCTTTTATTTCTTTCTTCTCCCTTTTATGTGTGTATAAATAGAACTCTTTCTTTAGAGTCCTGTTTAAACACTATCACCATTTATAATGTCATTCCAGTTGCCTTAGGAAAAAGCAATCTCTCTCTTCTTGGCCCTTCTCTTAGTGATACTTTTCACTCTTTCATGTAGTATCTATGTGCATTAGCTCCCTTACTCTAAGTTTCCTGAAAGCAAAACAACATGTCTTTCATTTTTTTATTCTTCTAGACCCACTTATATATATTCAACATTATAAATGTTTTTGGATTGAAGTCAATTATTCATAATGCAGCCCTCTAAAAGAAAGTAACAAGCTGTATCATAAGTTCATGGTTGAAAATGTTTTGTTTAAAACATCTCATTTGAAATAAGTATATTGGTTCACAGGACAAGGAACTATTCTGCAAAAATAAAACAAATAATTAGGTCCACTGTCAGGATAAGAAAGTTAAAAACAACACACAGGGATGGATCTCCAAATTTATATTATTAATGGGCAACATATTTACATTCCACTTGCAGTATAACAGCTTATTTAAATAGAAAATTTTGACTAGTTCTTACTATACCTGGTTTCTCTCTCTTCATGCTGTAAGATTAGGTTGCTGTAAAAATTCTCCAACGTGAGCTTGGCCACAGTCACTCTATCCCGGGTATGGTTGCTCATAGGAAAGGTGGTTGTACTCCCTGCCGTCATTGCCATAGTAACAGAAACTGAAATAACATATAAATACAAATTATTCAGTAGAAAAAAGTTGTGTTTTTTTTTTAATATATTTTATTGATTTTTTACAGAGAGGAAGGGAGAGGGATAGAGAGTTAGAAACATCGATGAGAGAGAAACATCGATCAGCTGCCTCCTGCACACCCCCCACTGGGGATGTGCCCGCAATCAAGGTACATGCCCTTGACCGGAATCGAACCCGGGACCCTTGAGTCCGCAGGCCAACGCTCTATCCACTGAGCCAAACCGGTTCTGGCTAGAAAAAAGTTTTTATCCCTTATAACAGACTCTAGAAATGGTTTGATTTCTACTAAGCAAAATTTGACCCCAACAATTAAGATATCCAAATCTTTCACATTATAAACAATACAATGCTAGAAAAGAAAGATGCACCATTCCTAAAGCAATAGAAATTAATTTTGTGCTGGCAAAACCAGGGCTGAATAACAGTAAAGAAGCACTAGTGGGAGTCCAGACACAACATAAATACATGCACACACAAAAAGTTGTACTCAACAAGCATTCAAAACAAGAAACGGTCAATCTATTTTGTTGTTGTTTTATTGATTACTAAATAAAATCCAAAGATTTTGGTAATACTTATGTCCTCAATAAATGTAAGTGTCCTAAGAGTTAATGTAGTTTAATTAAATAGTAAGAAATAGCTTCTTCCATATAAATGCTATGAAACATGAAGTGTTGCATCAATAAGCACACAAACATCAGTCTAAAGCAATTCTCATCAGGGGAAAATACTTTTAGAAAGAAGCTCCTTTGACAGAGGCCAGGGTTGCCCTATTTCATTCTGAATTCTGTCATTTCAGATAGTATTAAAACAAGGCATAGTATACTTCTCCAAACTAGGATGTCTGTCTCATTTTCAAAAGATACTCGAATGCCTGTAGGAACCAGGCAGGAAACACAAATGTGTGAATTAAGCCAGGTGACAATGCGGAAGTTTTGTGTATGCCCAATTAATACCATTCAAGTGCTAACTTTGAAAAACCACTGGGACAGCCGAAGTACTGGTTTGAAGAAGATAATCTGTACAATTGGACAAGATACGGAATGTAATAAAAAGGCTGCTTCGTAGGGGGGCTGCTCAACTCTGGTGGCTGTTTGCTGGACACTGGTCCCATGAGATTTGCCTACCACAGTCTGGACAAAAAAAACTAGAATATTCCCATATGTTAAACGGATTTTTGCTTATTTGCATGGGGATCATAACAGAGCAACCTAGAGAAGATCCAGATTGCATAGAGTGAGCATCCAACATTGCATTCCTAGTGAAAACATACTCCCCCAAACTTACTACCTATTCCCCAACACCCACCTCTTCTTAACTACACAAAGATACCAACCCTGTATATGGGCCTGAACTGCACTAGAATCCAGGGATGATGGAATGAACCAGAAGTCTTTCCTGTGCTTCAATGTCAAATACAGATTAAAAGTAAACAATCTCCAGATCCACTGTCATCTTATTGAGTTTATACCTCAAAGTACTGCAGGACCCACAAATCCATACGCAATCAACCTATTATTTTACCATCATAAACTTGTCCCTCTGCTAACTACTCTAAATTTTTTATAACAAGAAGCTGATCACATTAGTTGTTTAAAACGCTCCAGTTTCCTCACTGCCTATAGCAAATCAAATTAACTTAGCATGATAAAGACAACTCACATACACTGAATGCTGGTAGATATCAGGGATTTTATGATATTTTATTACTGAATTTCCCTTTTTTCTCCTAAGGATTTAAGATAGTGGCACCTTCTTATGCATGACTGCATTTCATCCTCACAGCAGCCCTGTAAAGTAAGGAACTAAAGCTTAAGAAAAGTCTCATAGCTAGTGAACTGTGGAGTTAGAACTCCAACTCCAAATGCTATCTCCAACTTGCCATTCCAGCCCTAGCTGCTCCCCTTGCTCATTGCTTACTCTTCTCCCAACATGCTTGGCTCTTTCATGCCTCCAAGGCCTCACATGACCCATCCCTGAATCAGTTATGTCCTGAAGTCCCTCCCTTCCTCCCTTCCTTCCTTTCTGAGAGAAAGGGGGAGAGAGAATATCAATTTGTTGTTTCACTTATTTATGAATTCACTGACTGATTCTTGTATGTGCCTTAACTGGGGATTGAACCCGCAACCTTGGCGTATGGGGGACAACCCTCTAATCAACTGAGCTACCTGGCCAGGGCCTGTCCTGAACTCTCTTCACAGGAACCTTGATTCTTTAAGGCACAGTCTTACTGTGAAGACTTCTCTAACATGCCCTACCAGAAGAGACCTAACATTTGCATTAGGTCTCTTCTTTCATAGGTGTTCTCTAACATTTGCACCAATATAGTTCAGGTACTGGTGCTTATCACTCCACTTCTCCATCCCACGAAACTAGGAGCATCTCTGGGTAAAAACTTTTCCTGATTCATTTTTTGAGTATTTACCACAACAGCACTGTATCTGACACATAGCAGGCATTAATGAATGAATGACTCAACCTATCAAATAGAGGAGGGGAAAGAGCTGAAAGAACTGGCTAAAAGTAATAAAGACTGATTAATAAGCAACTGTGGAAAAAGAAATTACTGAACTTAGAAGTCAGAAATTTAGAGATTTAATCCAGACCCTGCTGCTAAGTGATCATATGCTCTTGTTCAAATCACCAGAATGCTCTGAACTGGTCACTTTTCTCCAGACAGGTATTATGTATTTGTTCTTCCTAGTTCCCAGGCCTCCTGAGATAA